ATTAAAACAGTTAAACGGATTTTCTTGGCAGTGTAGATATTTTCCAGGTTCTTAAATACGTCAACAAATACTTTTTATCTCCATAAAAATTGCAGTTCCCGTAGGACTTACATGTATCCGAATACTGATCGAATTCCGAGTTTGGGTGTGTGAACATAAGTATATGTGGATAAAACAATGACATCGTACATACTAAAATAAATAATACGCTTTATTACCGTATATCTGCAGCTATGGATAATTACAAGAACGCATTATCAAAAGATGATGGGCATAGGAAATATTTGATCAGATCAGTGTACAATATGTAGCAAAATAATTTACCACTTTAATTTATGAGGCTTTAATAAAGAATAAAACTTTTACTATGACCAGTTTTTATTTTACTTTTCTAAAGTCAAAACGCTTCATGATAAGTTGCTAGCTACAAATGAGTATTAGTGTAATTCGTAAGCAGAAACTTCTTAGGCTGAGATCTATAGACTTTACTTTTAGTTTACTCAGACTTTACTTATGAGCTACTACAGTGTCGGTATTTTATTGAGCTAACGTCAAGTCATGCTGAGTGCGCGCTTAGCAAAGCCTAAGTCAACGAAATCGACGACTTACGAAAAACTCAGGATACGAACCAAAACCACCGTATTTATTTTAAATCATTGTTTTTATGTTACTTTAATTATTTATAAAAGTAAATGGGTAGTTTTAGATCGCATTCACCTATTAGCTTTTAATAGCACTAATCCAATTTTTATTTACGTAATTTCTAACTTATTTCTAATTTGTGCAAATTTATTCCTTTGTGATTTTTGCACTCTTCACATCCGTCCTCTTCCACAGTCATCAAATCAGCACAAAAACTGCAGCAATTTTAGCCATTTTTTTATTATTATTAAATCTCAACAAAAGTACATAGAATTCTCTCTACATTTTTCATTATATCACAAGATCCTTAAACAACAAATGTTGGGTTAGTTGGGGAATGGGTTACAAAAAAGCCCAAAGAATGTCGGATTCAAATTCCAGAAGCGTAGGTCGAATAGGTAGAGATTACTAGATAAGTAGGATTGAGGTACTAAGTCCCAAATCCAGTCGTAATAAAAATATCAGGAGTTTGAAATATAAACAAAAACTTAATGTTCACACAATATCAATAAATCAAAAGTCTCACGATTGAAACAATTATTTGACACCACTTAAACAACTGACCAAACGTTCGGTTTTTTTCCTCATATTTTAAACTAAAACTAGTTAAATGTAATAATAACTTATTTATGAAATACCATCTTGATTGTTTGCGATTTTTCAATATTATTTTTTTGAATTTGTAAGCTTAGCTTTATCGTAGCCCGATGCAAACTATACATTCAGAATCAATGATTATGCTAACTATACACTCAGCTAAGTTTATCGTAAGTAAAATTTGAGGAAAATCAAAGTACGGTCTATAGACCTCAGCCTTAAATTGTTGACACAATGTGTTGGGCTGCAGAAACAAAAATGTAGTTTCTGACTACTACGCGGACTACGCGTACAGGCAAATATAAGGTGAATATGCTTGATATTTCGAAATCATGTCATTTTACCACTTAATAAGCGACAGGGACGAGGACCAAAAACAATAAAAAGTGCTTATTTCGTCATGCGTTGGTGTTCGAGTGCGTGCGTCTGTTTCTATCTGCGCTTGCACTTGTGCCTGCGCATGTGCCTATGTCGTGTCTACGCCTGTGTTTGTACCCTGTGCCTTTATCTATGCCTGTGTATAGCAAAAGACAAAGCCAAAGGGTTAACATATGATAGGCTACCAGCTCCATAGCATTTGCAAGTACGTTGTTCATTTCTATAGATTATTTTAAGTACTAGACGCTGTTGTCGAAATTTGCTTTAGAAGACATGGTTATTATGAATATATTAAATAATTGACGTTCAATTATTATTAAATTTTATTTTGCAGACGTATTAAGAACCGATGACAATTTAATAATTTCACGAATATAACCTAGAATAATCACTGAGATAATCGCTGCTCGTGACTTGTTGTGCAAGTTTACCTACACCTGCATTTACTTGTAAACCATTACTGAAAGTAAATATTTATACTTAAATCCTGTTATGAAGAAAAGTGTTTTATATTGAAATATTTAAAACCATTTATTGCTTCGAATACATTTGTTTTACCTTTAAATGACGAACGGTGGTCAGTGCTTTTATGTGAACATTAAATTACGTTTGCGGTCTGAACCTTGGAAATATAAATGGAGCCTTTAAAGGGATTTGTGCATATTTTTAAAATACTTATTTACACTTGGCATTGCTGCATAAAATTACAAAATGTATTTATTAATTTACTTGCGATCCGTCTCGGATTCGCAGGGGTGATTTCTAGATCTCGACATCGTTGCCATCTACCAGATTCAATTATCAATCTAAATCATCCAGAGACCCACTCAAACGTTCACATAAAATTGCATAAAAATCGTCCGAGCCGCTTTCGAGTTTTAGTAAGACTAACGGACAGCTCAAGTGATATACTCATCTAGCATAATTAGACGGAGTACTAACCTATTGTCCAGAAGTGGACTTGTGATTGGCTGTGATGAATGAAATGATGAAATGAAGCAGCTCCTTAAGTACGATTAGTCTGGTCCTGCGATCGCTGATTTGACTACCAGGCGTAACTATTAAGGCATCTAGCCTTGGCATCTCATGCCAACAAGTAAAATGAAACAAGTATAGAAATAATATAAAAAATTAGACTAGTATAAAAATAGTACAAATAATAAATAAATGTGATTCTTTATTAGAGTCGATAAAGCTTAAAAGTTCATACTCTCGATAGAACCATACTGCAGCTTACTTTCAACTGTATTATTATCCTAAATAAATGGTTTGGTTCGACCGGGGAAACATCATGCTCCGCCTCAAATAGCGAACTTAATATTCTCGCATGGCACCCTTTTTGATTTTGAGTGAAGGAAAAATAAAAGAAGTAACAAAAACTTTTTGGAACCTAAAAATTAATACTGGTTGGTAAAACAAAAATATCTCTGAAATACCTGATAAAAAAGCGGTAGGTGTACTTAAGAGAAAACAACGAAATAATATAATAAAGTGAATAGTAAAGTTTTAGCTTATGGATAGAATAATGAGGCAGTTTAATTAAAGATTTATTACCAACCACACGTCTCCTTCATTTGACATCTTTCCTATATTACATGGCGACCCTGCCAGGCGGTGCGCGGCGACAATGCACGCGCACCGCCGCGGCCTGCATAAATAGTTAAAGAAAAATGGAAAAATTAATATAAAACTAAAGGAACAATTTTCAACTATTGAATTGACACCTTTCTTACAATACATGTATAATAATACGCAAAATTGCGCGACTAACGGAGAATAATTGATTTTTATATATAACAGAAGAAGATAAAGTTAAATTATTGAGTATCTGTCTTAAGCAAATCAATCAAGATTTACGGGATTAATACTAAACCGAATTCTCCATTTGCACGTGCATGCACAAATTTAAACGTAGAAGAAAATACACTAGATATTTCTTGTTCGGAGTAGATACATTTTCTACATTGTAGAGCCACGCTGCAGCTATTTTATGGTTGTAGTGGGTCGGCTCCACCGGGGAAGGATTACGTTCTTACAGAATACTAGCGTAAAATAGCAGCTTATTACTGCTTTGTTTCGTATAGTTAATATAGAGATCCGGAGACAATTTTTTAGTGCAAACGAGGCATTCCATCGTAGTCCTCAGGGGTGACAATGCATCTACGTTTTGATTCTTAATCGAGGATAAATGTAGATATCTATAGGCCACATCATTCATTTACCATCAGGTTGACTGTGTGCTCGTTTGTCACATTTATTCTATAAAAAAAGTACAACAGTAGTGAAAATTAGAAAGAAACATTTTGCAAAACGCCGTAACGCATTACGTTTTATTGACAAAGAAACGAAGATTTCGGTATTCAGTTAAAGTAAAGAGAAGCGCGTCAAAAAACTTTAGGAATCGGTGAATAGCTTAACCTAAGGTTAATGTAGTCTGAGTATCACTTTGGGTAATACGTTGGTATTAGTTTTTTTTATTAGATCAGGGTGACAAATGAACTGATTGTCCGCCTGATATTAAGTGGATGCTGTGGCCATTGATCTGTCGACATTTATCCTATATTAAGAATCGAAAAGCGGAATGCGTTGTCACGCCTGTGCACCCATAAAGAATGCCACGTTTCCGGTAAAAAAGTTCTCCGGTAATATACACTTACACAAACACAGCAGTATTAATCTGCTATTTAACGCTGGTATGCTATGAGGGCGTGGTCCGGTTGAGCCGACCTATTCGTGCTACAACCGTAACACAACTGCAGCGTGGCTCTATCGTATAAAATTCAGTGGATAAAATACCTATACAACTATACGTAGAGCTTTCAAAGCATGCCTAAACTCATTTGATTAATCGAGAACTGTGTCTTTACGCACACGAAATAGGAATGTAACTATTGCTTCATGCTCCACTGCTTTTAATACCGAAGCATTGATAAAGAGTTCATCAGCTGCATCATAGTCCCTAGATACACTACTACTCCTTAATCTTTTCAAGGGTTATATAATTATAGCTAATAACCTCAATTAGGTGACAATAGCATTAAAGAATAACAGTGACAGTAAAATTATACAAATATGCTATGTATATAAGTAATTAATATTATAAATTATACCATTGTATAACCTCTAAAGGAATAAATTAATCCGCCGTTGGTCGTGTGGGGCGAATAAACGCCCGTCAAAAGTTTATTTAAAACACTTATATTTTTATCGCATTAAAACTCCAGCTACCTTCCTATAACGACTAAGTACGCGATTCAAACGAACGACCTTTATGTTGCGCCGTGCACTTGAACGCTACGGACGTATTTTTTCTTGCACGGGCGTCAGTTGACCCCACGCGACTAACGACGATATAAAAGTGTAATTATTATTATGAGTACAAAATGAGTTTGTCACAAGAGGAACATATTAGAAACTGGTTGGAGGAAGAGTCAGATGAATATGTAATTGGTGGGAAAGATAATGAAGAAGGTGGTGACGAAATAGAGCCTCAAATAAGTGAGTACAAAAGTAATACAGGAAGAGAATGCGATTCAGAACCAGAAGCTGTCACGGAAACTCAGAGCATTGTTTCAAGTAGCGAAAATGACGTTCTCTTTTCTCACTTGCAAACTTCACAGTCTTACGCGGTGCACAGAAAATTAAGAAATATTAGTTATGTAGTAGCGGTATTGTGTATTTAGTAACGGTAATAGGTAATTATCTAACACAGTAATGCGCTTTATAACAACTCATGTTCAAGAAATAGAGGAAGATGAAGAAGAACCGCAACCGAAGAAGAGACGCTGTGTACACTGCTCTCGCTAAATGGAAAAAAATATTTTATACTGTGCTACAAATGTAAAAAAAATGTATGCTCTAGGCACTGCAAAAATATTTGTGAAGAATGTATCTCTGAACATACTTATTGTAACAGTCAGCATGTTTTTCTTTTACTATTTACAAGTTTTATGATCTCATATCATTATATACTTTATGAAGATTTAACTTTGTGAGAAAAAAGAGTTTTTCTTGGTATAATTTTAATCTCTAATAATTTTTATTATAGATTCCCATAAAAATATACATCAGCAATGTTAGCATACTAATTGTCATTTCAGACTATGCTTTCTTTGTATTTTAATTGTAAGTTACAAGTTTTTGACCTCATATAGTTGTCTACTTTTTGAAAATTTAATAATAGTTGAAGAAAAGTTTTTGGTGATTTGTTTTTTTATTTTTATAAAATTTTATTATAGATTCCTATAAAAACACGCAAAAAAGCTTCTTTGATGTTTTAGTGGTTAAAATAATGTTAAATAAACATTTATTTGATCAACATATTATGAGATTTTAATTTGTTTATACTCTAAATTATTCCCTAGATCATAAATTAATTTTAATAAAGGAATAGATTTTATAAAAAATTATGTTTGTTTTTGGGGATACTGGCTGACCCCAGGTGACCAACCCTGTTACAAAAATTGAGCGCGACCAACGGCGGGTAATGCGTGTTTTAAAATAGTTTTATGGCAACTTTTCAAAATTAATTTAACCAAAATTATGACTATTATAATATATACAATATTTGTCGTTCATCAACAGGTATTTACATTAAATATTATTAAGTGCAGAAATATATATTTAGCTTTTTCCGCGCTCACTCACGTGGGCTTCTGTGAATCGGGACAGATGTAAAACTATTATTATTTACAACAATTTATTATTTACATATTTTTGAACAAAGTTTTTTGTGCACAATATTCAAGTTGTGCAGCAATGACTTCGTATTGCAAATTAATGTGCCGGACGTGGCGTTCACTGTTAAACATTTCAATAAATAAGTCCGATAATTTTTGATATGGTTACATCATGCTGTCCATATATTTTGTAGCATTCAATTTCATTATGCCAATGACGATGATACATTTTATTAAACTCTGAAATCAGAATTGTAGTCGATGATTTTAACCGAAACAGGACATATTTTCATTTTAATACCACTCACTGCGTTCAAGTTACATGAGAAGTAACAACGTTTTTATACGTTGTTACAAATAAAAACGTTTCAATGTCATTTTATTTCTAAAATATTTAAAAAAAAACTCTTAAAATAAGAAATAAAAATATCTCATTTTCACTTCGCTCACCAATTACACCATTTTACATGTGTTAGAGTAATGATACAGCTATATTATGGTTGTATCATCAATGGGTCGAGTCAGCTGGGGAAAGATCACGCTCTCACAGAATACCAGCGTAAAATAACAACTAAATGTTGCTTTTTTTGTGAGGTGAGTGTAGACTACCGGAGACCCTTTTTTACTGGAATCGAGGCATTTCATCTTAGTCCTGAGGGTGACGGCGCATCTGCACTTTTGTTCTTAATCGACGATAGACGCAGATGTCTGTAGATGTAGATGGAACTATATGCTCGTTTTTCATCGTTATCCTATTTAAAAAAGTTGCATATTTTTCTTTAATGTGAAAGAAATTAACTAAAATCTATAATATACCCAAAAATATTATTACTACACCTTGTGGCTGTGTTTTTCGAACTTATGAAATAGATAAAGATTTTAAACAACAAGTACTAAAATCATTTTGAGCCCTTTTATTCTTGTAAATTTCTTACATTCCCACTAACCCCTACTCAAAAAGTAACAAAATGTGAAAGTGTGTTTGTTGGCTTGTTTTACTTTTGCACTAAAACGGAAAAACAGACATAAGTTACTTGCAATCATGCAAGGTACATTAGTACATTTTAATGACCATAAACCGATGCCCTTACAAGTGAACTGTAAATATGAGAGTGGCTTCAGAAAGGGGTCGACTGGAAACGGACGCAGTTGCAAAATTTTAATTTTCCACAAATTTTTCCAAGTGTAATGAATAACACTCATGAAAAATTGTTATGTGATAGAGCGGTGTTGTTGTTGTAAAAGAGGAGTGTTGTTATTTTGTTACGTGGTAGAGCCATGCTGCAGTTATATTATTAGTGTAGTTGTAGCACGAAAGGGTCGGCTCGACCGGAGAAGGACCACGCTCTCACAGAATACCAGCGTGAAATAGTATCTTAATGCTGTGTTTCGTATGGTGAGTATAGAGAACCGGAGACCCTTTTTACTGGAAACGAGGCGTTCCATCTTATTCCTCACGGGTGACAACGCATCTGCGTTTTGATTTGTAATCGAGGATAGATGTAGATGTATATTAGCCACAGCAACCACTTACCATCAGGGGGACTGTGTGCTCGTTTGTCATCCTATCCTTTAAAAAATGGCAATAGTTACACCGATTCCGACAGGCAGACAAAAATCCTAAAGATAATTTGTCTTCAATACTTACCTTTAATAAAGTCACCTGAACTAGTTTCTTCTATAAATTGTTATAATTACAGATACAAGTTGCTTTTGCGGATCCATCACATCATGTTATTTATGTAATGAACAATAACAGAATTTTGGATTTGGGAATTTTATTCCCGAAATAATCGCGACAGTTACACAATTTTTTTATTAATTTACATTTTTTAAACAAAGTATAAAATTAAATATAATTAAAAAGTTACAGAAAATACTAAAAAAACTGTAATAAAAAAAATGTTAAAATTTTAATTTTCATAAAGTCCTACTCCGAACTACTCAGAACGCTGGCTGCGTTGCCTCGCGTAATGGCTACACTAGTGATGCAACAGAACTCTGTTTCTGTTTCCGCAACTGTGGAAGTTCTGCATGGTTTTTAGCATCCGTTTCTGCTTCGGTTTCCGCAAGTTTTATAACGGAATTTTGAACCTAACTCAGCGACGTATTCACATAAATAGATTTATTGTATTTTTAGTTAATTAGAAATTTAAGTCGTGTGTGTAATTTAATTGCGACCAAAAACAAGTCTTGTTTGGAACTACTATTTTGAGATTGATGATTAAGCAGCCAGATGTAAATTATGCGACAAAATATTGCAAAATATACTCGGGAAAAGGCTGCACAACTACCGTTTTAAAGAGCCATATTAAACGCCGAAGAGTTTGCTGAGTTTGACAAATTAGTTGAAACTGTAAAACTTTCATAACTAAAAAACAAATAGTCAGTCAAGGAATTGCATACTTATTTATTTATAAAATATATTCCTATGTTATAGTTAAAACCAAATTTTAGTTAAAACGTGTTTTCTACAGTTAAAAAAAGTTTTTAATATATGTCTTTGTTATAACTTAGATTTGCAAATTAATTAGGTAGCAGTTATGTTTGCATGAAGTTTATATTATTTATTTTTTACTTGAAGTATAAATTAATTATTTTTATTGATTAAAACTACTTTTACGGATTTTATCGCGTTTATTAATGTTATTTTTAATACCCGACGTTTTGGGTGCTTTCCAGCACCTATAGTCACGATAAGAAATACTTTTTAAAGAAACTTTAATGATTATTTTAGATTAAAAGTTTAAAAAATAAAAATATAAATTTCTTTGCAATTTTCCGCTAAACAGCGGAAAGTGGCAAAGAAATTTATATTTTTATTTTTTATTATAATGGATTTCCGCAAAGTAACGCCTGATTCTATCAATTATATTAAAAGTTTATTTAAGTCGTACTTTCGTGCTAGGGCTTTACTAATTTACCTACTCGCTAAACCTAAATGTGGCTCTTTAAATGGTTTGCCCAAATTCCAATGCCTATTTAGCTTTGGTGTATAGGTGGTACGCAGCATCGCCAGTCAGCAATAATTGCTATAGCAATAATTATTATTTTTCGGAGCTGGACTAATATATGAAGAAGACTTGAACAGATTGTTAGGTGTAAAAGTGGCTGAACTACTTTTCATAAAATATAACTTACCGCTACTTAATTTTAAATGTTAATTAAAAGTTTTATTTGTATTTTTTAATAAGTATTATTTCCGTTTCTGCATTCGTTTCTGCAAAAAAATATAACATCTGTTTCCGTTTCTGCTTCCGATACGACACTTCCGTTGCATCACTAGGCGACACTTAGCCTTTGAGCGAGAAAAAAACCAGCAATCTTAGCACCAGTAGCGAAGACCAGTTGCGGGTTTAGTTCTTTTACGAACTTCACAGCAATTGGGCCCCACGGACCCACAAGTCTCTACAACAAATGGCACAAATATGTAGTCATCTCTCAAAGTCTCATATTTGCGCCAATTACTTAATTCAGCTGCCTCTGATGCCTGTAACGAGTTAACCTTGTGATGATAATTCGCCAAAGTTTCTACTCAAAAATATCCATTTTTAAAGAGAAATATGTCTAAATATTCACCTACATGTTAAAAAATCGACTCGTGGGAGTATAATAATATATCAAAGATGTGGAAAGCCCGTCAATTACTATGTGCTCTCAAAGTGAAATCCGCTTTGAATAAGCATGTCGAATTGCGTAATTAATCTAATGTTTTGAAAGTTTCACCATGTTTACAATATTATACTATTATTTATAATTTTATACTAGTAGAAATGCTATTCTGTCTAGGCTAGAACCCATTTACTTATTTTTGTCTGATGACTGTTCAGGTCTGAAGGGTATAGGGAGGCGGTATAATTAATTACAGACTATGAGGTATTACATATTAGTACTCAGAGATGACAAAGTATCTGTAGCTTTTTTAGTTTCAAATTGTGGAAGGTGTCCTTGAGCTGCAGTAGCAAATTATCGTCAAGTGGATTGTAGGTTTATTTTTAACTTCGATACTGTAAAACAAATAACTTTCATAGAAATGCAGTGTATATTGTTTCTCGTCAAATCTGAAATTAGTAAATTATTCTTATTGTAAATAAATTTTATTTAAAACCCTTAATATATATTATAATT